GGTACCAAACCAAACCAAACCAAATCAAACCAAACCAAACCTTTCCAATGGAGAGATTAGCAGGACAGCTGTAGCCCCGTTCCTGCAGGGTCTCAAATCTCATAATAAGAAGTCATCTTCTTCCTCCTTTCCCACTCATTCGAGATTTTCCTCCCTGTCCACAACCTTTCTGGTCTGGTTTGCTTGCCTGGTGGGATTACCCACCCTTTACCTCAGCGCCTGCGCCCCATTGCTGGGCCTTGTCTGTCTGTTACTGTAATTGCCTGTGCACAGAAAGCACCAAGACACACCCCTGTGAATTCCTGGTTCCAGATCTGCTCCTTTCTGCTCCATTATATAGTTAGAACTCTGTCACCTCCACATAGTTGGGGTGCTTTCTCTCTGCCTGCATAGCACCTCCATTCTCTGCCTGCTGAACTACTGGTGTGAGGAATTCAAACAATAATGTGGGAGCCACAAATTCAGGTTTAGTGGCGCCCTGACTGTGTGTCCTTTGGCAAAGCAGCCCCTTGTTCCCAAATCAGGAAATGAGAACTTCTAAAGTTGTGGGGTCAGATGGTGAGAAGTGCCACTGGATGTACAACCCTGGGTTCCCAGACTCTGCCGGAGACCCAGTTCCTCAGCCACTTGGAGTTCTTTGTCAACTGGGGCCTTGGCTGTGTCATTTAAGGCCATTCCAATCTTCTGTCAGAGCAATGTGGCATACTGTGGGACTGGATTCTGCTGTCATGAGCTCGTTGCTTAAATGGGTCCTCCTTTGGCATAAAGTGGGTCCTCTGGTCTCAGGCAATGTATCAGGGTTCAACTAGAGAAGGAGAACCACTTCGAATGATTAAAAAAAAAAAAAGAATTGTGATAGAACAATGCCCCTCTGCTCCAAAAATGTCTATATCCAAATCTCTGGAATCCATGAATGTTAGTTTAGATGAAAAAGTGGGATTTATGGTAGCAGATGGATTTAGGGTTGCCCATCAGCTGACTCTAAAATAGGGAAATTATCCTGATTATCCAGGTGGGCCCAATGTGGTCACAAGTGTCCTTACATGTGAAGAGGGAAACAGAAGCAGAGGTCAGAGTGACACCATGTCTGACCAGCTGTTTCTGGCTTTCAAGATGGAGGAAGGGGTCCCAGCCAAGCATGCAGGTGGCCTCTAGAGATGCAAAGGCCAAGGAAATGGGATTCTCCCCAAGAGTCTCCAGACAGAAACACAGCCCTGTGGACACCTTGATTTTAGCCCAGAGACACCTGTTTTGGACTTCAGACTACAGAAGTCACAGATCTGTAATGTAATAATTTTGTGTTGTTTTAAGCTACTGTAACTAGTTAGAGTAGCAACAGAAAATATAGATACTGTTAGCTTTCCATTACTATAACAAATACTTGAAATAATAGACTTATGAAGAGGAAAGGTTTGTTTTGGCTGAAACCTTTAGCAGTCCGTGATTGCTTGGCCTGTTACCTTGGATGAGGGAGCACATTCGTGGTGGGAGTGTGTGGAGGAGCAAAACCACTTGCCTCCTGGCTAGGAAGCAAAAGAGAGGAAGGTGAGGCCAGGGTCCCAATGTCCCCTTCAAGAGCATGGCCCGGATCATCGGAAGACCTCCCACTAGGCCCCGCCTCTTTCAGGGTCCACCACCTCCTAATAGCACCACGATGGAGACCAGCTTTCTCACACTCTGTGGCCCCTTGGGTAGTGGGGGCCTGAGGCATTGCTGGGCATGCAGGACACAGTGAAATCCCCGTGACAATGAATTGCTGCTCAGCATTGGTCAGGGCTACAGCGGGTGAGGCCTTGCTATTGGGTCCAGCCATAGCTTCCATTATGGTGGCTCTTGTCAAGGTCGCCGTGTGTGAATGCTGAGAGGCTGAAGATGGGGGCTAACTGCCCTGTCCACCTGGCCATTTAGTGCCTGTCCCTAATGGGTGCTCTTGATGAGCGCCTGCCTGGGGCCAGAGGCCACACTTTGGGGCATATTCCCTTGGGCCCACTCACAGCCTCATTCCCCAGACCTCTTTGTCTCTGAATTTCCAATTCTGTCATTCCAGGCTCCAAGACACTTGCCAGAGTGGATTCCTGGGAACAAGTAAAGGCCTCCAGCTCATTCTTTCACTTAAAAAGGTGTGTGAAGCCGAACCCTGTGGCCAGCCACTGTGCTGAGTACAAGGCATCAAACAAGACTGTCCGGGTTCTGCCTTTACAACAAATTGCCCTGAGGGGTGGGTCATTAGGCCAGTCATTCCATGGAAGAATGGAGTGCCATGGGTGCTGACAGCAGGAGGACCTGTTTAAGGTCAAAAGCAGTCCTGCTTTTTGGCCAAGTGATTCCTTTATCTGAAGGAAAAAACTCAGAAGAGAACAGTGAATCCATTTCAAAAGACCTTTTATCGAGCAGTTACAATAGAGGATGCAAAAATGAATCAACACAACCCCTTGTCCTCGAGAAGCTCACATGCCTTGAGAAATAAAAGTCAGACTTAGAAGTAACAGAAACAGGTTGCAGAATCACATTGGTCATACAGTCACGTATATACATACAGCAATACTAGTGTCTATTTTATTCTGCTGTCCTTCCTATCCCCCCTTCCACTCCCCTCCCCTCCCATCACTTCTCTCTACCCAATCTAATGCGACACACTTCTTTTTTTCCCCCCACATCATCATACATGTATTCTGTATAACGATGAGAAATTATACCCCATTTGATTCAAATGTATGATATGTCAAGATCATTGTACTCTCACATGTAACTAATTAAAAAAAAAAGAAGTAACCGAAACAGGACACGTGCTGATCAGAGCCAGGTGTGGGAAGTGATAAGCAGGCAGATTCTCAAAGAGACCCACACAACCCAGATGCGAGGCACCTTTCTGCCCATGTCCTCATCAGGACGGAATTATGATGGAATTTATTTTTATGGCTATAAAAATGTTTGTGATGTTAACTCTCTTAGCCATGTGTTAAATTGTAAATAAATCTGCTTTGCATAATGTAGCTAATACCCACTTCTGTATAAAGCATTATTTATATTGGTTTAGGGCACTGGAGGGCCCAAGGGTACTTATGTATCTTAACATGACTGGTGTTGCTAGATGAAATACAGGACACCCAGTTAAATGCGAATTTCAGATAAACAAATGAACAGCGTTTTAGAATAGGTATGTTCCAAACAGTGCATGGAACATGCTTATACACAACAACAAAACAAACAAAAAACTGTTATGTATCTGTAATTTCAGATGCTGCACAAAGATCACATCCATGTTTATGTGGTAGAAATAATTCAGATTTCAAGGAGGGAATGACATACTTTCATACTAAAAATTTCACAATCATTTTTCTATAAGTAAAATGCTAGCATATTCAAAGCATTACACGAGATATTTTTAGTGTAAATATATCTCAAGCAATTTTTGGAATATACTTATACCCAAAATATAGTTTACCTAAAATTCGAATGTAATTCACATTTAAATGGGTGTTCTGTATTTTCATTTGTTACATCTGGCAACCTTATATGACACACACTGCCTTTATGGCTTCTCTTGACAACCATTTAAGAATCTATTCCTTAAAGAACTGCTCATTGTGGGCCTGAACAGGTGCCTTGTTGCCCTCTAGTGGTAGATCCAGTTAATGTATGTACTTTCAATGTGCACTTAATCCAACTTGAGCCTTCACGTTACAAGCAAACGAGGACAATCCTTGTTTTCAAGGGGTTTGCCACATAATGGAAGGAAACATACACTATAGAAATAGAATGAAATGCTCTTCTGAAGCAAACATGCAGGTATGTCCTCCCTCCACAATAAATCTAGAAAACTTTGGGATGTCTCTGTGTGGGAGGGTACTGTCATCAGGTGAGGTCATATTTTATTTCAATCAGCTCTTGAGTGGTGTTGTTTTTTCAATTTCCTTCTTCCTCCCAATACCTCTTCTCACCCCCCCGCCCCAAGACAGAATATCTACACTGCCAAATTCCTTTCTTCATATCATCACTAATGACTTCTTCATTACGAGCGTCAATGGGAAGCAGACCACAGAAAGGGCACTGCGTATCCTTATACTGCACATTGCTTGTATGCAAGGGAAGGGAGTGAGCAGTCCTTGGAGGAAGGATGGTTACCAGTCTCTCCTTTGTTCTCCTTAGGAAAAGGAAAAGATATGTTGAATTTTTCCCCATCAATATAAACTTCCCACCGTAAATATCCATGTATTCATACTGTCCTCAAGACTTCCAATTCTGTGATCAACCCAAGCTCAAGAAAAAGGAAGAGAGAACAAACTGGAGGTTACTGGTACTGGTGCTACTGTTAAGTAACTGGATGTACTTTGGGCATTAGAGATGAATTTATTTCCTTCCCTATCCATTTTGAAAAATAATTTGAGGAAGCTTATTAAAAACACAAATATAGAAGGGTTCCCAGATTGAATACAAATTATATTCAACTTCTGAGTCAAAATATGCCTGAGACCAGGAGGGGTTTCCCTGCCTGGGAGGCAGCAGCAGCAGCCACTTGGAATGGAGTAGGAATTTTGTAATAATAGGAAGGCAGTTTAATTCAAGAAAGCCAAGAGGGGGGCTGGGGTTGCGGCTCAGCAGTAGAGCGCTTGCCTAGCACTTACAAAGCCCTGGGTTTGATCCTCAGCACCACATAAAAAATAAACAAATAAAATAAAGATATTAAAAAAAAAAAGAAAGCAAGCAAGGAGGACGCAAAGCCATTGCAGACTCTTGCTTCAGGATGACTATGCTCCTGCAGGGGTTAGGTTCAGGGTATGGAGAAGAAAAAAGGCAAAGAAGCGATTTCCCATCTGCTCTGTGGGGCAGTTATAACGTGGTGGTGGCCCTTTGGGATGCTTGACAGAGGGCGCTGGTGTATCTGGCACCAGCATCAGGTCCCTCTATCAGGAATACCTTCTAAAGGCATCAGCTGCAACATCTTGAAGCATACAATTTATTAAGTTCAAGTGGAAAAAAAATCACAAAAAAACAGAGAATCTGGCTCCAGTGTTTATTACATAAAGTTGTTTACAATAATAAAGACAAATATATAAACAAGATAAAAATTGTTGCATAAAAACATTAAAACTCAGTAATGTCCTTCTAATTCAACAAACAAACAAACAAACGTTGCTAGGACACTCACCTGGCTCAACTCAGCCTCATTCATTCCATAATTATTTTCTGAGCACTCTGCAGGTGCTCTGCACCATATTAGAGGTACGGGGGGCACAGTGATGAACAGAGTCCCTACTCTCACAGAGCTCTGCTCTAGTGGGGGAAGACAGTCATCACAGAAAACCAGTGAATACAGAACGCGTAGCAGTCATGGGATATGGGGTTGGGGAGGATTCTCTATACCCTCTTCACAAACTCAAGAGCAATCTGAGGCTGTTTTAAATGACATAGCCTCGTTTTGGGGAACGATACAAACTATAAATTTTTAAGTTTTTTTTTTTTTTTTTTTTTTTGAGACAAGTTCTTGCTATTTTGCCTAGGTTGATCCTGAATTCTTGGGTTCAAGTGAACATGCCTTAGCCTTTACAAGTATCTGGGACTACCGGTGTGTGCCACCAAGCCTGGCCTAAATTATATTTTTAAATTAACTTTTTAAAAGTTGCAAATTTCTGGCCAGACTCAAAGTCATAGTTCTAAACAGCATTTAAAATTTTCTAATTACAATTACTACTTATATTAATAATTAGTTTTTTGGCCATACCAGTATAATAAGGACTACCATCGTATATATGGGCATATATCAGTATAAGTACATATGTGTTTACAGGCCTGAATCACTTTTTACATATATCCATATGTACTATATAGAATGTCTCTCATGAATTCTCAGATCATATTCAGTCTCTCCAAAAACCAGCAACACTCTAATTTTTAGCCAGTCTATTAGGGCTTCCAAGTGGATGGCATATATATATATATATATATAATTTTTTGGGGGGTGCTGGAGATTGAACCCAGGGGCACTTTACCACTGAGCTACATCTCCAACCCCCCTTTTAAAAAAAAATTTTGAGACAGGGTCTTGCTAAGTTGCTGTGGCTGACCTTGAACTTGTGATCCGCCTGCCTCAGCCCCCTGCTGAGGGTCACAGGTGTGTGCCACTGAGGCCAGCCCAAGTATTTTTAAGTAAAAACTATTATTAAAAAAAAAAATACTCATCTCCTTACAACTAAGCAGCACCTCCTGATGAAGCATCATGTAGAACACTGTGAAGGACAGAATGGCCCCTCTTCCCCTTTTTTTTCCTACTACTGTTCAAGTGCTTGTTCAAAGTCACAGAGTTGTCACATGAAGACATGGTTCCCCAAATCTCAGGGACCTACCAATTCCATTGCTATCTTAGTGTTCAAAGAGTTTCCCCATCTTCATATCCTACGAAGGTGTCATTTCCGTCCAGGCTGCCTGGCCTGAAGAGAGCAGCTTTTTCACTGTGGTGAACACAGGGTCAGAAGTGCTGGACAGGATCACTGAAGTGACACAGTACGAAAGGCAACAGTCGCAGGGCTATGACATGTTCCCAATTTCTCTCAGGGGCAACTTTTCAAAGTGACAGGGCCTTTACAATTGCAGGGTCAACCCAGAAGCTGCACTTTGAACCAAGTGCCTCTGGTCAGGAAGAGGAAGAGAGTGTTCTGGGGTCTCAGTGGGGCTCCTTGGGCCTCCTCCTTGGCCTTGGTGTTCTGCTGGGATGACTTGGGAACCACATGGTGTGGGGTGCACACTCGTGCAGGTGCCTAGGACCGGCTGGGAAGCACAGCCCTCCCTTTCTTCCTGGCTGATGGTGTTCCCTCAACAGAGATGACCACGTGACAGGACTGGCCTTAGTGATGGGCGCCCAGCATACCCTCTGACGCCATGTGTTTTCTCTTTCCATGGTTCCAGTTGCAGCAACTGGTGAGAGGCCTGCCCTTCAGGCCACCAGAATTTCTAGACTTTCTGCTACAGAAGGCATCCATGGTTAACCCTAAATGTTATGTAATTTAAAATATGCCCTGAGTGCCTTTGGAAAGCACTATATAATTTTTAAAATTAGGCTTTTCTTCCTCATTGTGTTTTCCCTTTCATGTTCATATTAAATAATTTGCATTTTCTTGAGTGCATGCAGGCTGAACAGAAGGGGCATCTGAATATTGCTAGGCAGTGCAGAGAAGTTTGCCTGGTATGAAAAGTGGAAGATAAGCCAGAAAAACATACTGGGCTAATAATTAAAGTTGATTAGACAAATTCTTATTTTTTTTCACCAAATTTACTTGACTCTTTCCTACTGAATGACTCCACTTCTCACTCCATCTTTTCCATCACTGGCATTTTCTGGTCCCAGGATGACCTGTGTGCTGTGCCTCATGAGCACACACTGAGACTTTAAAATATAACAATGGCTTCTCTAATTAGGTAACCACTGGATGACCTCAGTGACTGCCACGGCTCTAACCAGTTATGAATCAGGAGGTCTTCATGCAAAGTAAAAGATTACACCTGGTTTTAATCCTAAAGCATGTAAGGGACAGGCAGTTTTGCAATATCTCAGGAAAAATGCAGAGAACTCCCCTGAACACTTTTAAGGATTATTTTTCTAGCATTTGTGGCTGTGTTCTAGGACAAGCTACTTTTTGGAAGACCGGGTGATAATATTCAGACCATTTAAAGAAACATCCTAAGGCTCTAACCAAAGACCAAATGTTCTAAATATTTCCTGAGAAATAGTGAGATGGCGTTGGGAGTGGAGAACAAATGCTACCTGCAGTAACCAGCAGCATCGTGTCAGTACTGACAAGAACACAAAAACTGCCTTTAGCCACAGGACAGTTAGCACGGCACGGGAAAGATGGTGGCCACCTGCCTGAGTTGCCCATCTCACTCAAGACAGGCTTGATAAGAAGGCAGAGCATATTTCTCCGAACTCCTGTGATTTCATTTTTAAATAGTTAAATGCCCGCTGTATTTTTAGGAACTGTGATCTGAAGGTGTTTTTTTTTCCCTTCCCTAAGAAGCAAACATCCTCTTTACAGTTACAAGGGAGCTTGAGTTCCGGTGTGAACTCCAATGGCAACGAGCATTTTAAGAGTTCATTTCTGGGGACTCAGTTTCCAGTTGCAGAAGTTCTTCGCTTGTTTTACTTCCTGAATTTTCATCTTCATTAGAATAGTTTCCTGAATCTTGACTGGTTTGGGAATTGTACTTTTTGTGATCCTCGTCAATTTGATTAGTTTCCTTCATTATGGTATTTGTGTTTGTGTTTTCAATTATAAAACACCTTTCAATTTGTTCTTCAGATGTCAGAAGTAGAAGATTCTTTAATGGTTGTTCAGACAAATACTAATTTTAAAAAAAGGAAGGAATAGAGATGAATTGTTTAAAATAAAAAAAATTAGCTTCATAGTTCTAATAGCTTTAGTTTTCATTTAGAAAACTTCTCTTTTATTATGCATATTAAAAAGTCAGCTAAGAACATACCAATTACACTGTAAGTCAGCTAAGAAGATACCAATTATTAGTGAGTTCACGTATCTTAGTACTTTCTTGGTGAATCCAAGAAGAGCATGTAAGAGGGCACACTGCCCTGGAGCAGCCTAGGAGGGGCTGCCAGGGGAGTGCGGGGGAGCATGGACATTTTATTTTAAAATAATTCAAAATAATCCAACTCAAAGGTACCCAGAAGCAGTACAACTGAGAAATTAATTTTTTTCCTGTTTGACTAGGAATTTTATAATTAGCTATTTTTAAGTCTATTTTAAATAAGAGCTATGAATATTACAGTACATAAAAGTGATATTTAAAAACTCAGGATTATTAGAGTTAGCTAGTAAAGATATACTGGGCATTCTTAGAGTGCTGGGCTGTTCTTGGGGTAGCTCTTTCACTGCTCGTGACTCTGGAGGGGAGTGGTCCTGGTTCCCATGCAGAGCCCAAGGGTACCCTCCTGCCCATCTACTCCTAAGTGACTCACTCAACTTCACATAGCTTGTGAGCATGGCTGTGTCACAGCTCACCACAATTCCAACTCTGCGCCTGGGCTCTTTACCACACTGAATCTCAAAGCAAGCCTGAACCCTGCCCTGGGTGAACACTGTCCCCAAGCAGTCTGCTACTGGGCCTTCAGCACCCAGCACCCTTGCCACCTCTACAGGAGCACCAAGCCAAACATCAACGTGTCTACAAGGAAACTCGTGCTTCTGATGATGCCACCTTCTGTGATTACATTCTTGGAATGAATATACTTTCTATAGGGATAGAACAATTCTTTTTGATATATTGTGAAGAATCCCAAAGATTTAAATAGTAAAACAAATGCCATAATAGCCAAATTGCCAGAAAACAGGAGATTAAGGACAAATCTTACTTCTGTGCTGTTATTAGGTGACTGATTCTAAAGTTCATTTACTGAAACTTGGAAGAAAATACCTACATTAGTCTGTATTGTTTTCTGGATATCAAGAAAACATGCATTTTGTTGAAATCAAATATATTTCTTAGGTTGATAGAGAAGAGTAACATACCTTGTCAATATTGCAAGGAGGTTTAAGTGATGGGAAGAACACATAATTGAAACATCTCAGGAGGGTTTTCATAACATACATGGTAAATAGAATAAAAACTCCTGCAATGCAAATTCCAGCTATCACCCAGATTTTATAAGAATTTCCTAAAGATACATAAATGATGTTTAGTATCAATGTATGTTTGGACACACAAATGCACTGATATGAAACTAGCCATATGAAGATAAATATAAAATCTATTAAATAATACCTCTAAAAATATTTCTGGTAACACTGAGTACCAGCACAACCTGACCTTTAAAGACTGTCTGGGGATTAATCTAAGAGGTCCTTTGTGGAAGAAGACAATATCAACACATGGGCCCTACCAGGCGAAAGTTCTCCAGAACTTCTACAACATGTGACTAGCAGAATTTAAAAAGATTCTGTGACTAAGCCTCTACCAGTCCACTCTACAAAATGAGATGAAACCACTTGCACATAAAAAAATTACAACTGAACTACTTGGTTTTCATAATCATTAAAGTTTATGTAAAACATTAAAAACTTATAGTCTTATTAAATACCAAAAGCAACAATTAAAAAGAAATTCATTATGTGGATACTGGATGAAATATAAAAGCATTAAAAATACTAAATTGAGCAGTATATATATTTTCTAAAATTGAAAGACTTATCTTGAAGGTTTACTTTTGATTCATGTAATTCATGAAGTGAACATGCAGAAAATCTATCTTTTGTAGTGAAAAGCAAATTGCTGGCAGCTGGAAGTGCCGCACGCAGCAAATATTTTACAATTTCCAATGTATTATTTTATTAAGTCTAGTTACATTTGAAAAAAGATACAAAAAAGATATTCTCACCTGGTTTTGTTTTCTCGCACACAGTATTGCTAAAAATACTGCTTTTATTCAACTGTTCCCCCACAAAGTGTGCTCTTCCTTTGACACAATACACAGTCAGTGGTTGCAAGTTGTCAATAGTAAAATCGTTTTTTTCTTTTAGGAATTTTCTCTATGAAAATAATTGAGTCATTGATAAAGTTTAGTTAGCTCATGAAATCAGACAGGGGAGATCTATGAATTATTTTATATTCAATTTAAGATCGGCCTCTCCCAAACACTTAGTTGGTGTGTGTTTAAGAAATATAAATTTGTGGGTTGGGAATGTGGCTGAGTGGTAGAACACTTGCCTAACATGCATGAGGCCCTGGGTTCAATCCTCAGCACTACAAAAATAAACAAACAAACAAACAAAAAACCCCCCAAAACCCGAGAAACAAGTGAAACCCACAGAACAAGTGAAAAGAAATATGTTTTGAACAACCCATTATAACCAGATCAGAAAGTTTAAAATGCTGCTGTCCAAAAAGCATATGATACATTCCTAAGGTAGCTCTGATTTATTTTCATGAGTACATGCTGGTTTGGCTTAATTGCCAATGTATTTCCTCTGATTAATGATAGAATGGCAAGTGGTAGGGATTCTGACCTCAATTGCCTGTGCTGAAGTATCAGTTATGGATGTGTGGCCTTGTGGGGGTTATTTCATTGCTTGGTGCCTTACTTTCTGAGCTGTAAAATGAGTACAATTATGGCTCTTATCTATGTTAGCCAGCTATTGCCACAATATTGAAGCCACCTTAGCATTCAGTGGCTCCAAACATAATTATTTATTTTTCTCAGTCTACAGGTTGACAGGGGGAGCCCCCACCAAGGTCAAGGATTCCCAACCCACCAGTCTCTTGTCCTCCTTGGACCATGGACTATTTAGATAAATTGCCTTTCTCTTGGAAAAGAGGAGAAGCATGAGAGCCAAGCCAAGCCATGCTGGCACACTTAAGACCCAACTTCAATGAGGCAGGGACTATGCAATCCTAAGTATCTGCTGCACAACAATGAAACTGAATATACAGTGTGGCAGGGTTGTTTTGAGGAATGACTGGAGTAGTTCATGTAAAATACTTAGTATGATACCTGATAAATTCTAAGTATTCAATAAATGAGTTGCTCTTATAATAATGATTGATGTTTGCAGTACGGGATAGGGAGGCAACTACAATTGACTGAACCTCTACTGTTTGTCAAAGTAATGTGCTATGTATATTCTTTCAAATCTTAGAAATATCCTTTTATAAAATTCAGCTGCCATGATCACTGCCACTTTAGAGAAGACAAAATAAAGTTTCAAACAGGCAAAACACCTTGCCTAAGATTAATTATATGGCTATTTCTCAATGGTCTAAATTAAGCTATGGTCAGACAGCTAAAATGGAAGCATTTGAGTCACTTCAATTTGCTTCTAGTTTCCAAAAGAAAGTAAAGTTACAGATTTTACCAACATTGAGTATTTGAAGTTGATCCCTTGATTGTAATTACACAAGGAATTGTGTGTATAACCTGATGTGGCGTTATCAAATTCTGTCTGTGGTTCTGAAATGCAGTGTTTGCCAGTGTTTTTCAACATTTTTTTTTTCACTACACTTCCTCTGCAGAGACTTTTTAGATAATTAAAAAAAATTCCTCCCCCAACATGAAATTAAACACAAATAAATAAAGTTGAACTTTGGAGACATGCTTTCCTCTAGGAGGGCCACAAACCATGATGATATTTTTGACCCTAAGAACCAATTTTGTTCCCTTGGAGGTGTCATCAGGGGACTTTTGACAATGTTCAGAGATATTTTTGGTTGCCATAACTGGGAGGAGCACTACTGGCATCTAGTCGGTAGAGCTCAGAGATGTTACTAAGCATCCTACAAAACATAGGGTGGCTCTGTCACAAGAATTATCTGGCCCCAATGTAATGGCGTAGAGAAGTCCTGTTCTAGATGAACATCTAGGAATTGTGTTAGGAACAGTTCTGATTCAGCAGCAATGGGCTCAGGAATCTATTTTAAAAGCAACCTGAGACTCAGATGCAAGTAATCCATAACTCTACCATACAAAAACATGGAAAAATGCTGACATTCTTCATACTACAATAGGCACACAGTTAAATACACAGTCTTAGAGTCTAATATTTTCCCCCAAATTTTAAACTCAGCTTTATTTACCTGAATACAAAATTTACTATGTATAATTACCTCAACATTTGAACTGTTTTCCCAAAAAATAATTTCATAAATTAGAGGGTAAGGCTGCTTCACTGACCCTTCTGCAGCACTGACATAGACACGCAGTGAATCATTAATGGATTTCATGCTAATGACTGGTGGAGGTATAACAACTAGAAAAAAATTGTAAAGATAAATATGTAATTATACATCTTAAAACAATTTTAAGAATTTGCACCAAATTGAAAAATTATAATTTCAAGAAAAAAACCATTGGCTTACTGTATATTCCAGTATTTAATTTTTTCTCTTCAGACCAAAAAGATGTGCTATTTCCATTAGATGCTTGTACACGAAGATAGTAAATTCCTTTTGAGAGACGTTTTCGAGGAAAGATACAATATGTAGTTTTGATGTGTTCACAGTTAGGTATTTGTTGCCATTTATGTAAATTGGTCCCACGAATAATTTTTAGAAAGCCACTGTAAGACAAAAAATGTTCTTTAAATTCAAACACATTAATTTAGTAAGTATGAACTGAATACTTACAGTATGCTGTTAGAGGCTAAAGTCACACAAACAAGCAGCTCCCACACCCTTGGGAAACTCATGATACAGTGGAGGAGATGCATCTATCCAATACAAAAGAAAGGTAAAGATTGTTCCAGAGTAGTGTTGTGTCAGAGGTGGCTTGACCATGTGCAAAAACAACTTCTATAATTCCAGGAATGTTCCAAGATGTTTTTTAAATAGAGCCTTTATTAAAAATCTAATTATATACTCTTACAATTAAGAATTGTATTAAAGGGCTGGGGATATAGCTCAGTTGGTAGAGTGATTGCTTTACATGCACAAGGCCCTGGGTTCAATCCCCAGCACTACAAAAAAAAAAAAATGTATTAAAGACAAAGATAATACATATTTAAACTGAATCTTGCCCTAGAGATTTTACTATATTTTATCATCTACATACTTGAGGCTCTTTATTTCTATTGTATCTACATGGTAAAAATCCCATATACCAGTGCCAACTGTGCTTATCTTTCCAGCTCCATGTTCAGGAACAGGATGCTCGTGGTTTGAAAGTGGCCATCATCACAAAATTCAGCCAGTAGTCCAAATAGGGCTCTTCCCTTCAGGAGAACCAACCAGTTGCTGAACACATTTGCACACACCCCTGTGTAAGTGCTGGAACAGAAACGCACGGTCTAGGGCTACACTGTGCCTAAACCAAGGAGAGGCACGGAGAGACTAAGGCTGGGAGACTAAGAAACTGCTGCTCAAACCAACAGCAAAGAGCATCTCAGTTTAGGCCTAGAACTGCAAGAACCTCCTAACTCGTTTCCTCATGTTGAGTGTCATCTGAACCCACTGCTCCAAATATGATGCAGCCATACACACCTTCCTCAAACACAGACCTCATGTTCCAATGGTTCCCAAACATACACAGGATGGCCCACGGTAAGCCCCATCTTCTCCCATCCTACCAACTTCATCTCTCTCATGGCTCCTCCACACCTTGAGTTCTGCTCCTGTAGGACACCCTCCCCACGGTGGCAGGCAGCATCTTAAGGTGGCCCCAATGTCCCTACCTTTGCACATACATCCTGTATGAGCCCCCACCCCAGTGTGAGCAGGACCTGTGAATCTGATTTGGGCCCCCCTCCCCCTGGATTAGGTAACATTATCTGGCAGAGGCATTTTACAGATGGAATTAAGGTCCCAAATCACTAATTGTGAGTTAATCAAATGAGACACTGTGCTGGGTGGCCTGATCTCTCAGGGGAATCCTTTAAAAGAGGGGATAGATGTCAGACCCTTCCCCTGATGCCTCCAAGAGGCACCATGCAGACCTGTCCTGGGACCCTGAGCTGGATGAAGCTACATCCTAGCAACACCCTGATTACTGACCAGAGGACTCAGGTAAGCCATACCTGGACTGACACACAGAAACTTTGAGATAAAATGCCTATTTTTAATCTGCTAAATCTATAGTAATTCCTTACAGAGCAACAGAAAATGAATTATTCCCCAACCTCATTTTAAGTCTTCCTATTCCTCTGATTTCCCTCCTGCTGTGACCCTCTCTCACCCACTTATCCACATCAAGGCCTTGTTATTATCGGACCTCCTTCCAAGTGGCTTCTGTGCTCTCCAGCCCTATCTACTTTCACTTTTTTGATTTCTATAACTGCTATAATTTGTTTGCTCTGCCCTAAGCCACACGTGGCTGAGCAGTGTCAGCCGACTGCCACAGGTTTCTGGACTCGCAGGCTTCCTCCTGTTTGTTTGACCTCTTCAGTGCTTTGTGCAGTGCGCCATGCAGCCAAGAGAAGCTCAGGGGCATCACCTCTCCTTCTCTATTCCATGGCCCTATTTTTTTTATATAGACATATTTTAGTTGTAGTTGGACACAATACCTTTATTTATTTATTTTTTATATTTATTTATTTGTTTTTTAATGTGGTGCTGAGGATTGAACCCAGCGCCTTGCACGCGCTAGGCAAGCGCTCTATCACTGAGCTCTACCCCGTGGCCCTGTTTTTTAGCATGGATCTGGAAGTGGAGTAGACACAAAAGGTCACTGCACAGTCTCCTGGTGAGGTTGTCTTCCTCTGTGCAGATGTGCTCCCCTCCTACTAGCCATCCTTGGTTCCAGGATCACAGTAAAGAGGAGAGAAGATGAGCACTGACTCCTCTCCACCCTTGTTGTTCCTCTGTCCTTCTCACCTTGTCACTTTTCTTTCCCTGTCTTTGTCTGTTAGTCCCTCTATTCTTCTGCTCTCAGTATTTATCTTTCTTTCTATCCCCAGTCTCCCCAAAACCCATTTTTCCTTCCTTATGATTTTCCTCTTCTCTCCTCCTTCTCTATTCATCCCCTGACATTTTCCAGTCGATATAAACTGTACGCAGTTATTTAATTTATGCAGTATCAAGACCTCATCCATATTGGCTAGTTTCTACTTGGCCAGGTTGAAATCTGCTCTCTCACCAGACGGATTCTCAGCCAAGTTCCACAAGATCTTCAAAGAAAAACTAATACCCAAACTCCTCAAGTTATTCCATAAAATAGAAAAGGAGGGAACCCTTCCAAACTCATTCTATGAGGCTAGTATCATGCTGACACCAAAACCAGACAAAGAAACATCAAGGAAAGAAAACTTCAGACCAATATCCCAGATGAACTCAGACACAAAAATTTTCAATAAAATTCTGGCAAATCACATATAAAAACGTATTAAAAAGATAGTGCACCACGATCAAGTGGGGTTCATTCCAGGGATGCAAGGTTGGTTCAACATAAGAAAATCAATGTAATTCATCACTCAATAGACTTAAAGACAAGAATCATATGATTAGCTCAATAGATGCAGAGAAAGCATTTGACAAAACACAGCACCCCTTCATGTTCAAAACACAGAAAAACTAGGAATAATAGGAACATACCTTAACATTATAAAAGCTATCTATGATAAGCCCAAGGCCAACATCATTCTAAATGGAGAAACATTGAGTTTTCCCCCGAAAAACTGAAACAAGACAGGGATGCCCTTTTTCACCACTTCTATTCAACATAGTATTTGAAACTCTAGCTAGACAATTAGACAAAAGAAATTAACGGGATATAAATAGGAAAAGAAGAACTCAAACTATTACTATTTGCCAATGACACAATTCTATATTTAGAAGAAGCAAAAATTCCACCAGAATATTCTAGAATAAATGAATTCAGCAAAGTAGCAGGATATAAAATCAATACCTATAAATCAAATGCATTTCTATACACAGGTGATGAATCCACTGCAAGAGAAATTAGGAAAGGCTGGGGATGTGGCTCAAGTGGTAGCATGCTTGCCTAGCATGCATGAGGCACTAGGTTCGATTCTCAGCACCACATAAAAATAAAATAAAGAAAAAAAAAGAGAAATTAGGAAAACTACCCCATTCATAATTGCCTCAAAAACAAAAACAAAACAAAAACCAAATAAGCTTGGGAGTCAATCTAACAAAAGAGGTGAAAGACCTGTACAATGAAAACTACAGAACACTAAAGAAAGAAATGAAGAATACTTTAGAAGATGGAAAGATGTCCCATGATCTTGGATACGCAGAATTAATATTGTCAAAATGGCCATACTACCAAAACTGTTACACAGATTTAATGCAATTCCTATTAAAATCCCAATGACATTCTTCACAGAACTAGAAAAAAACAATCATGAAATTGGAATTTCATGAAATTCATTTGGAATAAGAGACCCAGAATAGCCAAAGCAATCCTTAACAAGAAGAGTGAAGCAGGAGGCATCATAATACCAGACCTTAAACTATAGTACAGAGCAATAGTAACAAAAATGGCATGGTATTGGCACCAAAATAGACATGTAGACCAATGGTACAAAATATAAGACATAGAGACAAACCCATATAAATAAGGTTATCTCACACTAGACAAAAGCATCAAAAACAAACATTGGATAAAAGATACCTATTCAACAGATAGTGCTGGGAAAACTGGAAATCTATATGTAGCAAAATGAAATTAAACCTCTATCGCTCACCCTGCACAAAAATCAACTCAAAGAGGATCAAAAACTTACGCACTAGAACAGAGACCCTATGCCAAATAGAAGAAAAAGTAGGCCCAAAATCTTCATCTTGTTGGCTTAGGACCCGGCTTCCTTAACAAGACTCCTAAAGTGCAAGAAGTAAAATCAAGAATCAATAAATGGAATGAATTCAAACTAAAAAGTTTCTTCTCAGCAAAGGAAACAATCAATAATATGAAGAGAGAGCCTACAGAATGGGAAAAAAATCTTTACCAAATGCACCTCAGATAGAGCACTGATCTCCAGGATATACAAAGAACTCAAAAAACGTAACACCAAAAAACCCCCAAATAACCCAATCAATAAATAGGCTAAGGAACTGAACAGACACTTTTCAGAAGAAGAAATACAATCAATCAACAAATATATGGAAATATGTTCATAATCTCTAGAAATTAGAGAAATACAAATCAAAACTCTTCACTCTAGTCAGAATGGCAATTACCAATAATACAAGAGATAATAAGTGTTGGCAAGGATGTGGGGAAGAAGGTACACTCACACATTGCTGGTGGGACTGCAAATTGGTGCAACCACTTTGGAAAGCAGTATGGAGATTCCTCAGAAAACTCGGAATGGAACCACCATTTGACCCAGCTATCCCACTCCTCGGTTTATACCCAAAGGACTTAAAATCAGCATACTATAGTGACACAGCCACATCAATGTTTATAGCAGCTCAATTCACAACAACTAAACTATGGGACCAACCTAGATGCACTTCAACAAATGAATGGATAAAGAAAATGTGGTACATATACACATTGGAATATTACTCTGTCTTAAAGAAAAATAAAATTATGGAATTTGCAGGTAAATGGATAGAACTAGAGAACATCATACTAAGAGAAATAAGCCAAATACCAAAAACCAAAGACTAAATGTTTTCTCTGATAAGCAGATGCTGATCCATAGTGGGGTAGGTGGGGTAGGCAAGGATGAAAGAACTTTGGATTGTGCAGAGGGGAGTGAGGGGAGGAGTGGGACTGTGGGGATGGGAAGGATGGTAGAATGAGACAGATATTATTACCCTATATACATGTATGATTACACTACTGGTGCAACTCTGCACCACATACAGCCAGAGGAATGAGAAGTTGTGTTCCATTTGTGTACAATGTGTCAAAATGCACTCTACCGTCATGTATAATCAATTAGAACAAATTTTTAAAAAATTGAAGGGAGATCAGTAGAATAGAAGAAGGGGATTGGGGGAAGGAGGAGAGGGAAAGGGGAGTACTGGGGAATGAAATTGTTCAAATTATACTGGTTTATTGTGTGCACATATGAATATATTATAACAAATTTCACTGTTATGTATAATTATTTGCCAATAAAGAGGAAAAAATCTGTTCTCTTCAACTTTCTTTAATTTCCCACTAATGTGATCACCATAAAAATTCAGCAAAACCACTAAAGAAAATAGGAGGGTTAACTTTTTGAACAAGATTGAAGTGAGTAGCTTGAAAAAATTTCAAACACTTATGGGAAAAGTGAGCTCTGAAGAAAGGTCAGGGTCAAAAATCAAGCATTCCTGATTGGGGAAATAATACATGAAACTAGGGCGGGTGGTGTAGCTCAATGGTTGAGCAGTTGCCTATCATGTACAAGGCCCTGGGTTCCACGGCCAGCACCAAAAAAAAGAAAGAAAAAAAAGAAAGAAAGAAAAGCTACTAAAGTCACACTTATCTACAAAAGAGCCAGTAAGAACCCTAGGAATTAGAACATACCCATTTTGTAACAGATGAAGACACCGAGGCCCACAAGGTTAAGTCATGAGCTCAACATCAACCAGCTAGTTATGGGCATAGCTGGAGCTATAATTAAATCCCCCAAATTTCCAATGTGTCATGCCTACTTCTCAGTCAGTCACTGTAGGTGCAAGGAGTTTCAGGTAGCTGAAGTGGCATGAAAGAATAATCAAAACACACTGGGAAAAAGGAAGTTTATGGAAAAGAACTTACTGGAACCATTGAACTTGAAAGGTCGCATTCACATATGCATAATCCCATTTTAGAATATAGTTCTCATTATCAGCACTGATTTCTAAATTTTCTGGTGGAGGCAGCTTATTTTCAGCTGGAAACCAAAGCATACATTAAATAGCATGCGATTTTACTCTAGTTAAAGAATATATGGCAAAATTTTTAACAGCATGGGCAAAATGATAAAAGGATTACATCTCATCATCAAGGTAACAACTAAGCTGTGGTGTACATTCACACAATGAAATACTAAGCAGCCATTTAAAAGACTGTGATAGATCTGTATGTACTAATACAGAAGTTATCCTCACCATATTGGGTTAAACAAGCAAGCTATAAAATAAACATATGCATCAGGATTCTCTTTTAATTTGAAAACAAAACCCCTAAATTACATCTTATAAGTCCTAAAAAGAAGTATATATATGCACTGCTAACAATGCTTACCTTTGGGAAACAGAGTTGGGGGTAAGAGAGCAAGAGAGGAAAAGCTCACTTTAAACTCTTCTGCATTGTTTTGATTTTTAAGAAAGAAAGTGTGTTAAGTTTATAATTAAAATAATAAACAACTCTAATCTCCCACTCTTGACCTTAATTATTGGCAAGATATCAAAGACTAGATATAAAAGGATGCTATATTTTCACATTTCATTTAGAGGTATATCTTTTTGAAAGACTAACTATTCTACTATCAACTACCTCCCCCTTCTATGGATTTTGAGCAAGTAAAAAACATTTGGTCATTATAAAATATTTGGACTTTTAAGTAGAATTAATTTTCATTACTATTTATTTACTTGAGGCAAAAATCCCAAATAATGTTTTTAACTTATATAAATGCTGTTATAATGCTTTTGTGTTAATATCTATTAAACCATCATATAACACATGGTTCAGTGACTATGGGAAAAATTCCAAATAAATATATTGCCAAATATAGTTAATAGTTCTAAAGCAAAAGGTTCTCCTTACCTGTGGTATTTATACAACATACTGGACTATAGCTACCATTTTTGTTGTACAAAAGTAGTTTTGCTCTAACTTTTAAACAATAAGTAGTCTCTGGTGAGAGTTTATAAATTTTATCTCCAGGATGAACTGTTTCAATCCTTTCCTATAATTAAGGAAAAAAAAAAAAAGAGGTCTATTCTTCATAAAAGTATAAAGACAAATTTTACAATTAATTCACCTAATTTTTTCTCTCACATTAACAAAGGTAAAAAAAAAATGCTTACTTCCACATTTGAAGAGTTTTTCCACATAACTAAGCTATATGTAAAGGCTGAAACATCCAAAGACCACATAACATTGTCCACTGTCCCAGGAGGAGAGATGTGTATTGCTATTGCCTTATCTTCAGCTTCTAAATGTACTTTTGGAGGACCTATTTGAGCTGTAGGAACAAGACAATTACTATGACACTTCTTTAATGTCAGGTCAACAAGTACTGTGTCCCCAACAGAGCAAAACAGAGGATCTACACTCTCATGGAGATGGCAAAAAACTCAAATAAACTAACATATGAAATGCCATGTGCTATAAAGAAAAATAAAGTCATATGAAGGGATGAAGAATGGTTGGAAGTGCTCTTTTAGATATGCTAGTTAGCATATCTCTTGAGAGATACATTTGAGCTGAGGCCTGAATAAAGTAATGGAGTGGTCATACAAACATCTAGGGAAAAAGTCACTCTGGCTGAGCCCCTAGGATGGGAATGAGCTTAACTTTTTCAGGAGACAATGAAGTTGCTAGAATGGCTGGGAGTGGTTGAAACAGATTTGGGAGGAGGCTAGAGGCTAGATGTGAAAGAACTTCGAAGCCTTAGTAGTCCATGAAGTCATCTGAGGGCTAAGATTAGGAGTACCAAGATGTGACTCAGGGGCTGGGGCTGTGGCTCAGAGGTAGAGTTCTCACCTCACACATGCGAGGCCCTGGGTTTGATCCTCAGCAAACATAAAGATGAATAAATAAAAAATAAAGGTATTGTGTCCAACTACAACTAAAAAAAATATTTTAAAAAGATCATTAAAAAAAAAAGATGTGACTCAGGTTTTAGAAAGAGCATCCTGTTAAGATATGAGGAGGCAAGGAAACCAGTAAGAAATCAAGTGAAGAATGAAAGTGGCTTGGTTTTCAGGCTGGAAGGGAGGGAAGTCAGGTATACTTTGGAGATGAATCAGAATGTGTTGACAGACAAGCTGTGTTAAGGATCACTCTGGGCTCTCGTGTGAACAAAGACACAGCTGATGTTAATTGAGATGGTAAAGACTGCAGGAAAAGAGCAGGTTTTAAGGGGGGATGGAGAGCTCTGTTTGACTATTTTAAATGTGAGATGACTTTTGACATCCAGAGGTGTTGAATAAAGGTGGTGATACAAGTCTAAAGGTCAGAGGGTGATACAAGTCTAAAGGAATGTGGCTGGAGAAACAATTTTCTGAGGCAAGAGCATACAGACAATCGATCTGGAAAGCCATAAGATTACTGTTGGAGTGAGCAGAGAAGAAGTTCAAAGACTGGCCCCTGCAGTCTGACATTTAAAGTCTGGGTGGAGTAAAAAAACTGTCAGTGGACAACCAGTGGGCAGGAGAACCAGGAAGGAGAAGTGCCCTAGAAATGCCTTCTATCCAGAAGAGGAGGTGTTTCTAGAGAGATGGAGAGAAGTCCACATCCGTGCATCACCAGGTGACTGACCTGGAAGAGAACTGGAAATTCACCTGCACGTGGAGGTCGCTCGTGATCTTGAGAAGAATGAGTTTAGTACTGCAAGGAGGAAGAAGGCTCAAAGGGAAAGGGATGATGAGGGAATGGGGAAAATGAAGCACAGACAGGGAGTGCAGATCATTTTCTTTTGTTTGGTTCAGGGCTGTGCTTCTTTTTTGGTCTCAGGACCCCTTCTACTAGAGAGGCAAAAGGTGCCAGCTTGAGGCCAGCCTGGATGATTTAGTGAATCCTGTCTCAAAATAACATTTTAAAAAACGAGATGGGGAAACTGCCCAGAGGCAGAATGCTCCCAGGTTCAATCCTCAATACCACAAAACAAAACCAAAAAACAATGATAAACCCATACTTTGAGAACTACTACTGTAAGAAAACAGAAAAGAAAGAAAGAAAGAAAGCATAAAAATGGGGCCAGAGCAGAAGGAAGAAAGAGATTTAAAGGCATTTAAAGGCATTGTTCTTTTAATAATAGGAGATTTTACATCTTGCAAATCAATCGGTTTGGAAAGAGAACTATTCTGGCAACATTTACTAAAGAATATAATATAATTCAGATGGCAACTTTTACTTTTCTTACCTTCCTCAAATGGTATAAATGAGTAAACTTCACTCCATGAAGAAGAGTCATTTCCTTTTTCTGCTCTTATTCGCAATTTAACTTCTTCATAAACATCTGAACTGAGAGGAGAAAAGTGGCATTTGTTGACCACAATGTGTTGACAGCCAGGCAATTTCATCCAGTCATCCACCTCAGGTCTTAAAGTGAAAAGCAAGGGAATGAATGAGCACATGTCAGACAAAATAGTGTCAAATACATTTTCCCCTTACTAATGTTATAAAGCTAGCTTAAGACATTATTTCCTCTACTTGAGTTCACATCCTGTTAACATTTTAGTATGTGCCCTTCCACTCTTTTCCAATACCTATAAACCAAGCTACTACATATAAAACGGAATCATTCAGACATATGATTTTTTTTTTTTTTTTTTTGGTACCAGGGATTGAACTCAGGGGTACTGGACAACTGAGCCACATCCCCAGTCCTATTTTGTATTTTACATTTAGAGACAGTGTCTCACTGAGTTGCTTAGCGCTTCACTTTTGCTGAGGCTGGCTTTGAACTTGCAATCTCCTGCCTCAGCCTCCCGAGCTGCTGGGATTACAGTCATGTGCCACCGTGCCCAGAATATAATTGATTTTTAATAAGGTTCTATAATATAATTTTATGGGTGGCTGCATTAATATTTCATGGAAGCAGAGATATGCATAACCCATAAGTCAAAAGCAGATTTTGGCTGGCTTTGTAAAGGACAGTTGTATGACTTCTGGCAATTTACTTTCTGTTCTTGGATCTTCTAATTGAAAATTGGATTTGATGATCCCCTCTGTTCTTCTATAGATAGATTATCTGTCCTAAGGCAGACCTCACACATCAGTGCGGTTTAGGGGTTTCCTTTGCCCTTTCCCAAACCAAATCACTCCTCTGCTTCCTGGTCTTCATCATTTCTTTTATTATACCATCAGAAACAAAAAAACTTAAAATGTTAGCATGAACAATTTCCTTCAGTGGAACTTGTCAACCAAAAAGGTTTATACGATTTGAGAATGTATTCTTTTTTAAAAGGGGGCAGGGGCTAGAGGTGTCACTCAGCGGTAGAACACTTGCCTAGGATGCACGAGGCCTTGGTTCCATTCTCAGCACTAGTAAAAATAACAAATAAATAAATATATTAATATGGTTTTGGTCCATGCTCACTCTTTATATTTATCTTCTTTTCTCTTTAGAAAATGCAGTAAAACTTTTATTAAAATGCTTTTGAACTTAAGAGAACTATTTCAGTAAAGTTACCTTTATACTTTCTTAGAAAATCTTTATCATCTCCAATAATTAGATCAGAATAGAATTCAATGTGAAATGTGAGTATGTAACCAATGTAAGATTCATTTCATAAAAGCAGTTTCACAATGTAACTTGTGAAAGAGAACTATTTTACTTCTCCTGTTCACTGAGGTCTTCTGGGCACTCAGAATGAGTGCTTAGCATAGAAGGCATCCAGTATTTATTGACTGAAACTGTGATAGTAGGAGCAAATGTGACTCCATTTTGTTTTATGACTTCATCCTGTAAAACAACCATGCCAAGTAGAAGAGTCATGACCGGAGCAAGATGTTTTTTTTTTTCCTTTTGCTATAGAAATCTTTAAGAACACAAAACTACCTAATGGGGTATTGTTTCTGTAACTAGGGTAACGGGGCTCTGTTTCTGTAACTGGGGTGACTGGGCTAATTGTGATTGGTTAGGCTTCCCTCCGCTTGACTGCACTGTCCTGCTTCTGTAACCTGGCTTGCTTGCATTGTCTAGACCCCCTGAATATCCCTTTTGTGGTTTTCAGGCTTATAAGGAGTGCCCTTGCAATTGTTCGGGGCTGTTCAGGGGAACAGCTTTATGTTCTGGTCAGCCGCCACTGGTGTGCTTCAATAAAGGCTTGATTCGATTATACGTGAGTGATCTGGAAGTCAGTTTATGAAACCCTGGGACGAAGCTTTAACTATAACAAAACAATGAGTGCTGCAGGTTACATACATCACAATCCATTTTAGATAGAAGTTACACACACTGATGTTTTAGTCAGAAAATTTGCAGAAGATGGGTTTCAATGCAAGTAGCCTGGCTAGAGTCCACACTACACTACACTGCACTACACTACACCAATCCAAATGTATATTCTGACATATTTCAGCAAAGAGAGTTGTTTGTAAATTAGCAGAACAAAATAGGGTAAGAATACACTGAAAAAATCATTTGATGCAAAAGTTAAGAGTGGAAGGGTCAAAGATTATGATGAACTAGAGCATCTGGCATAAGCAATGTGAGAAGGAACGCAGGTGTGAGAACAATGGCCCCCTGCTCTTCATTATAAGCATACCTGAAATGACCCCTCTCTATACCTCAGGCAACCGTTTCATAAGAAGATTCTGAATTAAAGAATAAACTGGTAGCAAAATTCAATTTAAAGAAAATCTCTGGAGATAAAAATGTCTATGTGCTCACATACACAGACATACACATAATTTCAAAGCTGTCAGACTGCTATTCCAGTTTTTTTTAATATTATTTTTTAGTTGTAGTTAGACACAATACTTTTATTTTATTTATTTATTCATATATGGTGCTGAGGATTGAACCCAGGGCCTTGCACGTGCTAGGTGAGCGTTCTACTGCTGAGCCATAACCTCAGCCCCTGCTATTCCAGTTTTAATAACTGGAGAACCACAATGTCATGGCTGTGGCTGAAGTGGTGGGACCCTGGTTCTGAAGGCCCTAACCCCTTGCTTCTTCACTGTCTTCTCCTGCCTGGACAGTGGACCACAGTTAGCAGACAGAGTCCTGACACCAGATGAAAGGCCCAGGGCTATAGGTCCTGAGCTGGGTCCCCTTCTGTAAACATTTTCTCCATAAGCCCTGCCTGCCTACTCTCTTGGCAACTATGAAACAGAAAGACAGTACCAAGAAAGAGACCCTGAAACTTCAATAGAGTCCAACATAGTTTATAAACTGTATCTGAATTTAAAATATTGTGTATGATGGAGATAATAGGAAAATCTGACCATAGGAGGTCTGGTTACTTATTCCAAGACCTTGGATTAGCCTTTTTGGGTACTCTCTCATATCCTCAAGGCATGCTCTAGTTCAGACACTAACATACATTTCACAGAATATCCAGAGCAGAGAAAGTATGAGGTAGTTGTGGGCTAGAAAAGCCTTTACCACACTCATCTCAAATCTCTTTTGCTTCAAAGATAAATTTGACTAAGTCTCTATTTGTAGAAATGGATTACAAATATGAAGACAGAAAATTTCTAATACATGAAAAAGAAATGTTTCCCAAACCTGAAATTATGGTGATAAAGTTATAATAATATTGAGAGGAAAAAAGGAATAGGAAGGTGGAGGGAATCTCAGATAAATCAAAGGTGGATCAGTAATATAGAGGAAAGGGACTGGGGTGAGGGAAAGGGGAAATACTGGGGATGACACTGGCTAAATTATATTGTTACATTGTGTGCATGCACAAACATAACACAAATCCCACCATTATGTATAATTATAATGTACCAACAAAAAATGGGAAAATCATAAATATTATCCACACCATTCTGGCAAATCTGTAAGTAGAGTCACTTACGTTTGATAAACTGCTGAAAAGGTCACATTCTCAACAGTCTCAATCCTGCTGTTCCACTTCAGGGTGAAGTTGTCATCCGTGATGTAGACCTCTATATTCTCAGGTGGCTGTAGATTTTTTTCACCTATAAAGACAATCAGAAACAAAATTATGTAGCTGCTATACAGATATTTTAAAAAATGTTATTCTTCCCTTCGCATCCGTAATTAAAGAATGAATACATTCAAACAAGTATTATATACTTCCTCCTTATCTATGGGGGTTGCATTGCAAGACCTCTAGTGGAGGCCTGAAATAACTGAAGATGGAATTGAGCACTATACAGTCCATTTTCTGCCCCCACCTCTTTGTCACACACACACACACACACACACACACACACACACACACACACCCTGTGGTAAAGTCTAATCTATGAAGTAGGTACAGTAAGAGACTAACAATACTAACAAAAATAGAACAATTGCAACAACACTGTAATAAAAGTTTGTGCTTTGGGGATCATTAGTAAGTAAAGTAAGAGTAACTGGTAGACTATGCTGGAGCGAAAGTCCACCAAGGAATATGTTGGGACAGATACTCCTGTCCCAGGCAACATGCAGTGATACTTCATTACAATGTTCTAAGTGGCACACAATTTCAAGCTTATGAACTGCTTATTTCTAGAAACTTCTACTTAATATTTTCAGTCCCATGGAAAGGAAAACTGTGGGTAAGGTAGGGGTGAGCTGCTATATTTAATAAATCTAAAACCTAATGTTTGCTTTCAGCACGGGAGTGTGTTAATTATATTTCTCCATCTGAGAGACCTGGAAAAAAGGTTAAGTTTTCCATCCATAAAAAAAATTTGTCCTTTAACTGAAAAGAACTCTGGCCTCAGAAGTAATACTGACATCAGAAACACAAGGTTCAACCGTTTAACAGCCTCAGTTTGGTTTCACATCCTTTTCAGAGATAGATGCTTCACATACTCTGATGGAGAACTGAACAGATGTGATTTCAAAGTTGACAGCTGTTTTCAGAACTCACATAACAAAACTGAGAGACAGAGATGAATATTTGTGTCAGCTGAGCCCCTCAGGAACCTAAAAATTTCTCAACTTCTGAATATGTCGACTGAGGTTTTCTGTTTATTTCTGAGGATTCCCATCTATGAACCTTCCTTATATTTTTAAAATATATTTTTTAAGTTTTCAATGGACCTTTATTTTATTTATTCATATGTGGTGCTGAGAATCGAACCCAGTGCCTTACACATGCTAGGCAAATGCTCTACTACTGAGCCACTACCCCAGCCCCCTTTCCTTATTTTTTACTACTAATAAATATCTTTTACCAATTGGATTACCTCCTTCCTCAGTTTCCCTTTTTGGCCCCTCCAATTTGCAGTGTACCTCTCTTCTTCTCTGATGACCCAAATCCTCCAAGACCCAGTTCTTGACCCCTTTAGAGAAACTTCCCTGAACACTGCAGCTCATGTTGATCTTGCTGTTCTCTTACACTCATGTCATTTAATCTGCACCACTCAATTTCACACTTCAGTCGATGTTCTCTGCTCTCAAATACTTGTTGAGTGCAGAATATACTTTTTCCAATTTTAAAAATTGTGGTAAAATACACATAATGTGAAACTTACCATCTTCAACAGTAAGCGTTAAATACATTGATAACACTGCAACCATCACCACCCATGTTCCTAACTCCTTTTGTCTTGGAGAATTGAATATCTATACCCATTAAACAATAACTCCCCATTCCCCATGGCCCAGCTCTGACAACCATTCTACTGACCATCTCTCAGACTTTGACTAAATACCTCATACAGGTGTAATAATACAGTATTTCCTTTTTTGCAGCTAACTTATTTCACTTATAAGGTTTTCAAGATTTGTCAGTGTTGGAGCAAATGTGAGAATTTCCCTCCTTTAAAGGCTTAACAGTGTTCAATTGTTTACATACCACATTTTGCTTATCCATTCATTCATTGATGGATACTCTGGTGTTTCCACATTTTAGCTATTGTGAATAATGTGGCTATGAACATGGATATACACGTATCTCTTGGAGACTCTGTTTTAAATTTTTTAGGGAATGCATTTGGAAGTGGAATCACTAGATCTTAAAATAATTATATTTTTCACTCTTTGGAGAACCTCCATACTGCTTTCTATAGCAGTTGCACCATTTACCTTCCCACCAACGGTGCACAAGGCTTCCAGTTTTTCCACAGCCTCACCAACATTTACTCATTTGATAATAGCCGTTCTAAGGAGTGGGAGGTAGTATCTTGTAGTTTCAACTTGTATTTCTTTAACAATTAGCAATGTTGAGCATATTTTCATTTGTGCATCTTCTTTGAAGAAATATCTATTCAACTCCTTTGGTAATTTTTGAATTAGGTTACTTTGTTCTTGAGTTTTGGGAACTTTCTATATATCATGGGTATCAATTCCTTATCAGATACAGGCTTTGCAAATATTTGCTCCCATTTGTAGGTTGACTTTTTACTTTATTGATAGTGTCTTCTGTTTCCTTATCTTCTGTCTAGTTGTTCTATTCATTTTCAAGAGGGGTAAATATTGTAGTCCCCAATTATTATTGTACAACTGTCTACTTCTCCCTTCAATTCCACCAGTTTTTGCTTCAGGTATTTTGATGGTTTGCCATGAGGTACACAAATCTGCCTAACTATTATGTCTCCTGGCTGTATTGAAGCTTTAATTAAAATATAGTATCTGTGTCTTATAACTTTTCTTGTGTGAACTTAGGCATTTCTGGAAGAAAAAACCTATATTACAATGGAACTCTTTAAGCAAGTACATGACACAGGCAAGCTCTCGCTCCTGAAAGGAGATGAGGCAAGGGTGGGGGGCTTGAGGTAAAGGCTGCCCCAGGGCCTTGAGAAAACGAGCCCTTACTTCTGATTTCCTATTAAAAAAAAAAAAAAAAAGCTCACCTCATAACATTTAGGGAAAAGAACAGCTCCCCAACCTGACTGATCTTCTGGTCAAGAATGCTGCAAGATACCACCCCAGTCCAGTGGTCAGAGTTTCCCTTTTCCCTAAACCTGCCTGTGCAATGTCCCCATCAATGTAGTAAATGAATGCATTACTGATTTATGACTTTGTTCTGTGGCTATAAAAGTTCAAGTAACATTTGAACTTCAGAGAAACATGTCATTCAGGGTAACTTGAACCCGTGTTTCCAGATGGTGGTCACTCATATATGGCTTAGAATAAACTATTTTCTTACTTCATTTAAAGGAGAATCATTATTTTATGTCAACAATAGTGTGAAGTACATTTTTACTAATATTAATATAGATACCTCTGTTCATCTAAGTCTTTCCCTTGATGTTGTAAGCCTTCAAAATATACTCCAGACTTCTGAAACAGTCACACCAGACAGAGTACGCCGGTCCAACTGTGTGGGGAGCAGAGAGACCCTTTCGCTTTCTACTCCAGTTATATTTCCAGAATCCCCCAAATACATATTTTTACCAACTGCTTCTCTGTGTGAAACACACATCTCAAACCATTAAAGGCAGAGTCTATATAGCATCATACTACATTTGTATGTTTCAGGATAATCAGCTGGGCTTCCAGAAATTTCTTAAATATAAAGATAATTTACTTGGAAGCTCTAATTTTTAAAAACTACCTTTTATTTCTGATAAATTTAATATTGTTTAGCATTTATTTCTACAATTATATTATTTCCTTACAGGTGGATTTATTTATTGTATTTTTACCACAAAGGTCCTTGTAGAACATTTTTTATTGGGATTGTTTCTTCTATTTTACAGTTAGATATGGTATGGGGCCAAAAGAGGAGATCTTTTTTTTTTTTTTCCCCCCGGTACCAGGGATGGAACCCTGGGGCAGGCTGGCAACCACTGAGTCATATCCCCAGCCCTTCTTTTGAATTTTATTTAGAGACAGGGTATCCCTGAGTTGCTTAGGGCCTCGCTAAATGGCTGAGGATGGCTTTGATCCTGCAATCCTCCCACCTCAGCCTCCAGGGCTGCTGAGATTACAGGTGTATGCCACAGTGCCAGGTGAGGAAACTCTGAGAAAACATTTTTTGATTTAAAGAATTTAAATGGGTAATCAGGTCTTTCCACCTCAATTTTAAGTTTCATATTAAAAATCTTTGCAACTCTATCCCTTAAAAAGAACAATTTTCTTTACCCTTATTTTCTTAACTTGATTCCTACCCAATTTGTTGGAATTTATAGATTCTGTGCAGCCAACAGGTGGTAGTTGGATTTACAGGGGTTAACAAAAGATCTGGTGGTGTTTGTAATATTTATAGTATACTGTTCAGAATACTCAAATTCAAGAAATTCTAGGCCTTGAGAGAGGCAGAGGAAATGTGATGGGGAGATTCAGGGACGTACTCAAGGTTGCAATCCTTCTATTGCTAAATGAAGGAGATCCTAGAGTTAGAGTCATCTTGGCACTTGGGAGACCAACAAAAAACTTATTAGAAAGTGAACATGAACTTGGAGATAATAGTTATCAAACAAGATTTCAATTTTCCTAGATTCTGCTGTGCATCAGCAATCTCTTCTTAATAAAATTTATTTTACCTTTCTAGCATGCAAAATGTATAAATGGGCATTTTTTAATGTTTTTGGCTGCTTCTAACCTTTCACACTAATCTCTTTTGTTGTTGTTGTTGTTTGTGTATGTTGCCCAGGTTGGTCTCGAGCTCGTGGGCTCAGGTGCTCCTCCTGCCTGTCTCCCTAGTTCTGGGACTGCCAGCATGAATTACTAAACTCTGGCCAGTGGAGTTTACTATCATTATGGTTAGGATTTGGAATGTCCCCCAAAGGGTCATGTGTTGAAGGCTTTGTCCCCAATGTAGCAGTGTTCAAAAGTAGGATTTTTGGGAAGTCATTGCAATATGAGGGCTCTGACTCATCAATGGATGAATGCATTGAGGAATTCATATATTTTTTTAAATTTTTTAAAAAATATTTATTTTTTAGTTACAGGTGGACACAATATCTTTATTTTATTTTTATGTGGTACTGAGGATTGAAACTGGTGTCTCACACATGGTAGGGGAGCGTTCTAGCTCTGTGCCACAACCCCAGCCCTGAGGAATTCATATTTAATAGTATTATTGGCAAATGGCGGAAGCTGAAGGTGGTGGGGCCTAGTGAGAGGAAGTGTTCATTGGGGGGAATACCCTGGAAGGATAGATCTTTTCTCCTTCCTCTCTCTCTGCTTCCTGGCTGCCATGAAGTGAGCTGTTGTCTTCTACCACATCCTTGATGCCATGATTTTCTGCCTCACCTCAGGTCCAAAGCAATGGAGCCAGCCAATGATGAACTGAAAACCTCTGAAACCATGAGCCAAAATAAATATTTCCTATTTTAAGTCTCAGTGACAAAAAGTTGACTAATACAGAAAATTGGTACCAAGAGTGGGGTTTTTGCAGTGACTATGTGATTCAGAAGCTTTTGGAACTTGTTTGTGTGAAGAATTTTGAAAAGTTTGGAGATATATGCTAGAGAAGCCTCAGAATGTTTTAAGTGGAGCTATGGCAATTCTGGTGGGAACACAGAAGATCACAATGCTGACAGGAAAGTGGACAGTAAGGACTGTGCTTTGGGAACAAGAACCCTGTTGAGAATTGGACTAGAGGCCTTTCATGTTCCACTGGCAAAGAACTTTGTCTACATTTTGTCTATGCTCTGAGCCCTTACATGAGTCTCAGTTTAAAAATGATGGGCAAATTAATTTAGTAGGGGAAATTTCAAGGCAGCACTATATTCAGGTGGCATGGCTATTGCTGGCTGTTTTTTAGTCAGTGACAATCAGGAATAAGAATCAGAGTGAAAAGATATGATAAATTTAGTTTGGCCAGGAAAGAAGCCAGTGAATTGTGACCAAGGAAGGTGAACTTGCTGAAGAAATTAGTGCCACTAAAGAGATAATGGATATTTTGACCTGGACAACAGGAAAGATGTCTTGAAAGCATCTCAGGCTTGGCCAGTCTCTGCCTACAGCAGGCTCAGGGTGTAAAAGTATAAACTCCTTTGAGACAATTTGCTTTTAGAAGAGAGTACAGGGTACCCTGTACTCACAGGGCCACCTAAGAAGCTATAGCACCAGGATTTGTTTCACCATGCTCAGTTTCCCAAGCATTAAGAGGCTGCTGCAGTCATGGTCCAAGTAGACCTGGCTACTGCTCCCACTGGCAGCAGACCTTGGCATCATCCCCACAGTGCTGGCTTTGCAGGAATGCAGAATGTAAGAGTTATGAGGTTCCCACTGAGATTTTCACTGAGTGAAACTAAAGCTTCAATGGCGACCTCAGGAAGGCACGGATGAGAGTAATGTGAACTGTCTGCCAAGAAAAGGTGCAGGCAGTGAGCAGAGCCAGCCCAAGAAAGAGGCCATGTGGGCTGCAACCAGCAAAGCCATAGGGGTGGGGCTGCTCAAATCATGCAGCTCCTATCTCATCGCCTGTTCCCTGGATGACAGACATGGAGCTACAGGATTCAGCATCTGCCCTGCTGGGTTTCAGTCTTGCTTTGGGACCCATCCTTATTTTCTATCCCCCACTTCTCCCTTTGGGAATATTTACCCTGTGCCTGTCCCATCATTGTATGTTGAACGTATGTAACTTGCTTTTCAATTTTTACAGGGAATCACAGCTATGAGTTGCCTTGAGTTGAGAGAAAACATTAGATTTGACTTTTGAGAAACGCTATTAAAACTAAGGGATGCTTAGAGACGAACATGAGCCTTTGGGGCCAGTGGCAGAATGTTATGGATTGGATATCCCCCAAAGGCTCATGTGTTGAAGAATTAATCCCCAATGCAGCAGTGTTGTATTTAGGAATTGATTGAATCTCAAGGGCTCTACCCTCATCCGTGGATTAATTCATGGATGGATACATATTGATGGCATTATTGGTAGGTAGTGGACACTTTAGGTGGTGAGGTCTAGTTAGAGGAAGTGGTTCACTGGGGGCATGCCTACAAGGTTTTATCTTGCCCTGGCTCCTTCACCTTTTCCTTTCTCTCTGCTTCCCTGTTGAAATGAGGTGAGCAGCTGTGCTTTGCCACATCCTTCTGCTGTGAGGTTCACTAAAGCAATAGAGCTGGCCAATCATGAGCTGAAACCTCTGAAACCATGAGCCAAAATGCTCCTTGTTTTTTCTCGGATATTCATCCCAGCAATGGAAAGCCTACACAATTATCTTTTTAAATCTGATGTAAATGCACACACATACATCCATACAAACATGAATGCAAACTTCCTCCTACATTTCGGACAATTTTCTTAGACTAGGGTCCTAGAATTGTATTTAATAGGTTAAAAAGTATGTATATTTCTATGACTTTTGAAAGACCAACATTACAATCTCAAATTTGGGTTAACATTTCACTTAGTTTTGAATATTATTATTGCTCTGGGGAAAAAGAACATTAGCTAAAGATAACTGATAAGTAGGCTCTTAACATATAGGTGGATAGTCAAGAATTTAAATTGTTTGGCTTCTCAGAAACAGTCCAGATTGGTTAAGACATAAGGCTTTCAGACTCTCAGGATATGATTTCCCACTCAACCAGTGGCTGACTGGTTTCATGCAGTTACTTAAAGCTCTCAGGTCTGTAAAATGGGGACAATACTTTCTAGGTTTTGAAAGCTAAGTGAGTTTGCATCTCTAAAACACTCAAATTAGTGATTCGTACATAGTTAGTAAATAAATGCTAAGTACCTATAAATCATATTTTAATAGCTCTCTAGTCTAAAATGAATTTCTCTGTGCGCATCTTCCTTGAAGGTCAATTTACGTGAAAATTTTGGGGAAATTCTTTTTCTATTAAAGCAAATATGAGTTTAATGCAAATTTTTCATAAAAAACTTCAAAGAAATTATCATGGGTTGTACCAGGATCCTAACACCCATACACTATTAGTTACTATTTGTGGAGGGTTTGAGGAATACTATATCATGCACCACACAGGTATAGAGTTTTTTTAAAAAAGAGGTATTCTGACCCTACCACCAGCCTCAGAGGCCTCCTGGATTCCTGCGCTGGGATGCTTGGCCCTGTTTCACTACAAAATTTCCTCTCTTCTCTCGATCTTTTTTTTGGGGGGTGGGGTGGGGAGGAGTACCGGGGATTGAACTCAGGAGTACTCGACCATATTTTGTATTTTATTTAGAGACAAAGTCTCATTGAATTGCTTACAACCTCACTTTTGTCAGGCTGGCTTTGAACTAGGGATCTTCCTGCCTCAGCATCCCCAGGTGCTGGAATTACAGGCATGCACCACCCCGCACAGCTCTTCTCTCAATTCTTAAACAACAGTTGCCATCCCCCTGATGCTAACCATCCCAGCTAAGTATTATGACTTGCAAGAAGCTAGTAGTGGCTTCTTGCAAGTTTTTCTTTTTTATTTTTAAATGGTACTGGGGTTGGAACTCAGGAATTTTACCATTGAGCTACATCCCCAGCCCTTTTTATTTTTTGGGATAGAGTCTCACTAAGTTGCTGCGGCTGGCCTTAAATATGGGATCCGCCTGCCTCGGTCTCCCTAGTAGCTGGGTTCACAGGCATGCCCAGATGTTCTTTTATTCTTTTTTTTTTTTTATTAGACCTTGAGGATCCTGCGGGCAGAGAAATTCCTTCAACACTTATTTCACTCCATCCCGGGGCTGGGGGCAACTGTTTACTAAATCGAGGAAGTGCGTTTTAAGGACACATTGTTTATTATCAAGCCTGACAGCAGAGCCAAGCATTTCTCCAAAAGAAGCAAACGCCAACAGGAGGCCCCGGCACAGCTGGTTTCCGAGGGTGGGAGGCCGGGGCGCGGCCCCAGGGCTGGTGGCCTACGGGTGCCCCCAACGCGGGGCGCGTACACTGGCTAACAAGCTAGCGGTGCCAGGGCTCCAGTTTGATTTTCGAGCCCACATCAGGTTCAAGTTGAGCGCTGAGGCCCCGATCCCACACCACTCAGGCACTGGCGACCAGACACACAGAGACGTCGGTCTCCCCCGCCCGCGTCCCGCCACCCGCCCTGCGCCCAGATCCCAGGTCTCTCACCTGCGGCTGCGGGGAGCACCCAAGGCGCCCCGGCGACCAGCGCCAGCGTCGTCGCGCTCAGGAGGGCGAGCATCGTCCGCGGGCCGCGGCGGGCCCCGCCACTCACATCCTCTGTCACGCGAACAGTGCCGCCGCTGCTACCAAACTTCTGCCCCCAACCCAGGCCCGCGGATGCACCGTCCCCGCCTCCCCGGTTCCCCTACCCGCGAACGCCCCGCCCCTCCACGGACGCCCCGCCCCCGCCGCGAACGCCCCGCCCCCGGGCTTGGAAAGGAGGTCGCCCGGCTTCTTCTCCCGCCCCACCCTGCCGGCGGGCGGCCGCCCAGTTCCTGGAGTCCAGGGAGGCCTTGGCCCCGATTGCTCCGCGGCTAGCTTCCGGCGCGCCTGCGCGGAGCTCTGGGCGCGAAGTGCGTCCCCAGCTTCCGGCCCGTGGCCGCGGGGGGCGGGGCGCCGGTGCAGAGGCCGCCAAGCCCTCTCCTCTGGCCTCGCCTGGGAGTCGCTAACCCAAAGGTCGTGCTATGCGACCGTTGGGAATCCCCGGGGGACGGGGCGGTGGGGGCTCGAAGAACGTAGGGGCGAGGTTTCCTGTGGGCGGGGTTGTCCAGAGTGGGGCGCTAGTTTTCTGGGTGCGCGGGGGCTGGGGGCTCCAGACACTGGGCTGGAGGTGTCTTGGAACTGCTGTGTCAGCCTTTTTGATCGCTGACCTTTTTATCAGTAAACAACTAGACCCTGCCATCCAAAGGGTTATTGACCCAAATACCTTAATCACATTATGCTCATCAGGAAGATATGCAAAAGGATTTTAAAGGATGAGAGGTGGACAACCAGAGAGTTGTTACTTATAACAATAAACTATCAATTGTATGGTAAAATGAATATTTGTAATGAGGGACAAACCGGTAGAAGGTGCCTGTTTTTAAAACCTCTCATGAGGTATAATTTACATACCATGAAGTTCATGTATTTTGCGGTAACAATGATTTCTGGTAATCTGCTCTTCTAGAAAACCTTGGATTTTTCACTTATCGACTCAAAGTTATTGGAGTCTGATTCTGGTTGTATCAGTGATTTGTTTTTGCTGTGACATGGCAGCTAAAACAGTACCACAAAAGACGTGTAGATCCAAAGGGAAGCAGAAAAGTCCCGATTGCGGTTATGAAATCATACCATTTTAAGAGCCTTTCCAATGACCCTTTGAGGCTTTCATCAGAATTTCCACTTCCTGTCTGAACGTTCATGCAAACTAGTTGGAATAGATGGCATTTTTTTTTTTAGAACAATAAGCTTAAAACGACTGGAACATTTAAAAGATTTTTAAACATGCTGTCAATTTTTCTCTACTTTCTTTGGTGGGCAGGTAGAGTTTTCATAGATGCACGAAGTGTTTTTTGGTAACAAAAATTAAATCCAAGTAGAAATATTTCCAAATATATTTAAAAATGCAAAGGATTTTTTTTTTTTTGCTTTTACTTTCTGACTATAATAGTAGTGTTAAAGGTTCTAGTAGTTTTTCTGATAATTGTTATATAAGCATAGTTATGTGAGCCATTTGTTGAATAAATGATCAGTAAATAATCTTTTCAAAAAAATACATGTCATCTTTTTTTTTTCCATCACTCATCTTATTGACAGCATTTGTATGGCACAAAAGATTTTCATGATCCCCTTCTTAGTACAACCTGTCTTAAATATTGAATTACTTTTTAGTGACATTGAATTGTGTTTTAAGAAAATGTACTGTACGTGAGATGCCCAGTAGAAAACATTTCAGTTTCAGCTTATTTATGATAATAATTTGTCGTTGGATGGAGTGTGATGCTAGCTCTGTAACCTTAGTTGAGAACCTCCTTTCCCCTCTTTATCCAGTTAAATTGATCCATCAAAGATTATACCTTCCTTTTCTGTAAAGCATGTTCTTCGTAACAAATTATTTTGGGATAATTTCAAATTTACAAAAAGTTAGAAAAATAGAGAACTCTTCCCAGATTCATCACATTGTTAATATTTTCCCACATTTGTGCTCTCTTTATACATGCACTCAAATTTATATTTTATTTATTTGTTTTCCTGGATTTCTTTAGGTTTATTTAATCTGGGACAGTTCTTGTTCTTTGTCTTTCATGTCACTGTCTTTTGTTGTTATTGCTGTTGAAAAATATAGGCCAACTATTTTATAGAGTACTCTCATGGTTAGATTCATATTATGCATACTGCAGAACTGCATAATTGTGTGGGATGCTCAGAATCCTGTTTGTTATCTCCTTATCTGTGAAGTCCATTTTCATCAAGGCCAGATGTTAGCCAGTCTCCCTGTATTGTTACCATTTTTCCTTGGAATTGACCTGTATGAAGATACTCAGGTCCTGCAAATACCCTGCTGTTCATCAGACTTGTTCACCTAGAATTAGTGTCCACTGATGATCTTTGCCTGAACCAGTCTCCGTTATAGTTGTGCAGTGGTGCCTTTTCAACACTGCCCTGACCTCTACAAGTACTAGTTGACATACCAAAGAGCTTTTATTTCTTTTATTATTGGTTTGGTTCACATATTCTTATTTCATTGGTTATAGTTTCATTGCTACCTTTATTTTAAAAATTTTAGTTAATAGACTTCATGTTTAGGACAGTTTTAAGTTTACTAAAGAATTGAACAAAAACTACAGAGAGATCCTGTTTACTCTCTCCTCCTAACCCTTCTCTAGTTTCCTCCATTGTTAATGTCTTGCATTGGTATGGTACAGTTCTTAAATTTGGTAAACTTGTATTAAACTCCAGGATTTACATTTGGGTTTGCTCTTTGATTGTGCAGTTTTATGGTCTTGCCAAATTCATGATTTCAGGTGTCCCACATTATAGTATCATACAGAGTAATTTTACTGCCCTAAAATTCTTTGTCCTTTACCAGTTCATTCATTCATTCTTTCTTTCCTTCCTTCCTTCTTTCTTTCTTTCTTTTTCTTTCATTTTTTGTTGGTCCTGAGGATTGAACCAGGCAAGCACTCTACCAAGTGAGCTCCTCCTATTTATTTTAATACTTCAGTTGTCCCAGATTTTGTCAGTGATAGTCACTTCACACTGGCACCTATGAATATTGAGGTGTCCTCCTCAGTTTGCTTTGTTTTATTTCTTGTGGTGCTGGTGATTGAATCCAGAACCACATGTGCTGGGCAGGGGCTCTACCATTGAGCTACTCTGGCCCACTCATCATTTTTTTTTTGAATGCTTCTTTACTTTCTAGCACAACACATTTCAGGTTCATCTTATACTTTTTCTGCCTGGTCTAGAAATCAGCCATTTCTTCAAGGGGACTTGATTTCTTCTTGAGGGAAATGATATTTAGAAACTAAGAACTGGGTACTAAAACCTTTTGTTTTAAAGAAATAAATTATTATTGAATGTATAACACACATATGAGAAAAAAGAAAGAAGGAAAGTAGGAAAGAGAGGGAGGGAGAGAGAGAGGGAAATATTACAAACCACATCCCTAAGGAACAGATAACAAAAATACTGGCAAACAAAATCCAATAGCACGTAAAGAAGATTATACACCATGATCAAGTGTATGGGACAGGAGGAAGTAATGGAAGTACAGCAATGAGAATAGAACCTTAGCTTTTAGGGAGCTGAGGAGCAAATGGGTGGCAAAGGGGGGGGGCAGTGGGAATTGAGACAGCAAGTGTCACCATCTTCTTGAGAAATACAACTTCAAGGCTCGGAGAAATGTGGCAGTCCCTGGAGGAGGGTCAGAAAGTCAATGCTGTGCTCTTCAGGTGAGAGACACTACACTGTGATTGCATGCTGTTGATGGGGTCTGTAGACAGGAAACTGAAGAGTGTGGCTCCTAGGATTTTTTATATTGAACTATAGGAAATTACAAGTTCGTTACCTGTTGGGCCTCAAGCTGTCCTACCCATGCAAGACTCGGTGCCCAGCCAGAGCATGGTTGTCTTTTGAGAGAGGTGCTATCAAGGACTCATGGAGTATGCACATGTCTGTATTCCTAGTCCTCAGCACCATCATTCCTAGTTTCTCTTTCCAAGGTCTTTTTTCAGGTACCTCTGCCAAGACATGCTTATGTGTAGGAAGGCACAGGAAGGAAGAACCTGAAGACATTGATAACTAATATGACTCAGAACTCACTACTTTCCCACTCCTAGCCCTTCCCTCTTCCTCTTCCCCTGCTCTCCAGGAGACTTTTGATCTGGGCTCCCTCAACAACACACCCCCATCTCTGTACTGATTCACCTGGCTCCATTCCATGGGGTGGGAGGGGGAAGAAGTTGGGGTGCCCTCTTGTTCAATAAGATATGGTCCAAGTTTCACTCTTAACTTTCATTTTTGGCTTGTTGCTGGAGTTGATGGCTCTGCTCCAGCTCAGGTGTGTTCTTTTCACCCTGGTACAGGAAGAGCACCTTTCTCAAAGGAAATTTTGTGAGCTGCTTCAGCTAGAAAAGAAAATGTGAGACAGCCCTTTCTGCAAGTGCCTTCAGCTCGAAATGATCAGTATGTGAAATTGGCATATTTGGGGGTTAAATGCCCTCAACTCCTGTAGTTTTATAGGTTCATCTACATTTTAGTAGGTTTCATCATTTTATTCCTTTTTTATAGTTGAATAATATTCTCTATAGTCATCCCTCAGGGTCCCCAAGGAATTGGTTCCAGGATCCCTACCTTGGATACCAAAATCTGCAGACACTCAAGTCCCTTATATAAAATGGCATAGTATTTGCATATAACCTCCACACATCTCTAGTGTGTTTTGTTTGTTTGTTGCCATGTTTGAGATCAAATCCAAGTCCTCACCTGTGCTAGGCAAGGTCTCTAGCACTGAGCCACAACCCCAGCCCCAGCCCATATTCTTTAAATCATCTCTAGAGTACATGTAATACCTCATACCATGTAAAAGCTATGAAAATGATTGTTATACTATATCATTTAGGGGGGTGATTATGTACATGTCAGTACTAGAAAATAGTCAATACAGAGGCAATTTTTTTTACCAAACATTTTGATCCACAGTTGGTTGAATTCATGAATTCATGTGGAGCCTGTGATCTAGAGGGGAGATTATATATACATTATACATTTTATTTATTTATTGGGTACTGGGAATTGAACTCAGGGGCATTCGACCACCAAGTCATATCCCCAGAACTATTTTTTTTCTCTGT